TTGAGTCCTTAGAGGAGCTAGGGGAGTGGTCTAGATCAAACCCGCTAGCTTCTTGGACGGCCATGGCCAAAGCCCCTAAGGGTGAGTTGTTCGTCGACGAGGTAGTTATAGGCGGCCACAAGGCCGGGGCCTTTTATGACACTTGCTTGACGAGAAACTTTATCAGTCGCGCGTGCGTTGAAAGGCTGCGCTTACAGGGGCAAGTGCAGTGCCTGAGTCGACCTGTGAAGTCGACCTGTGCCAACAAGCAGGACATGGTAGTCAACGATTACCTAAAAGACATTAAGTGTCGTTTCCCGTACGTGGGATGGGAATTGAGACATCAAGTCTCGTTTGTAGTCAGCGATGATCTCCCAATGGATATCTTGCTAGGTATGTACTATCTTTCGGTTGCACAACCCCAGTTTCACTGGGACCGAAAAATAGTCAAACACACGCTGCCCAATGGGGGGCCTGCTAGATTGCATAAGTATAAAGCGAGAAGTCTGATCGAGTCCTACGGGTGCGTGTATTATAAGCAAAATCCGGAGGAGGGTATGTACGTAGTCTACGTCTCTGCAGAGGGTGAGCAAGTGAAAATGCCTCCAGAGATAGAGGGAGTAGTCGCTAAGTACCCTGATCTATTCGAAGAGCCGAAAGGGGTTGTCGAGAGGGAGATCGGCCATGCGATAGAGATTATCCCAGGATCTAGTATTATGAAAGGTAGGATCTATCGGATGTCTCCAGCGGAGCTCGATGAGCTTCGCCGACAACTCAAGGATAGCATAGAGAAGGGTTGGATCCGGCCTAGTGTCTCCCCTTATGGGTCTCCTGTCTTGTTTGTACCAAAGAAGGGGGGGACGTTGAGGATGTGCATTGAATATAGGGGCCTCAATGCCATCACTGTCAAAAACATAGAGCCCCTACTGCGCATCGATGACTTGTTGGACTGAGTGCGAGGGTGTCGGTACTTCAGTAAAATAAATCTGAAATCTGGGTACCATCAGATGCCATACGGCCTGAGGATCAACACCAAACCGCTTTCCAGACCAGGTACGGTCTGTACAAGTTTGTGGTGCCTTTCGGCCTTTGCAATGCTCCTCGCACCTTCCAACATGCCATGAACCGGATCTTTCATGACTACTTGCACAAGTTTGTCATCGTGTACCTCGATGACATACTTATCTTCAGTAGGACCATCGAGGAGCATGTTGGCCATTTAGACAAAGTCCTTAGCCTCCTTCGACGGCACCAGTTTAAGATCAACGGGGAGAAATGCGAGTTTGGCCGTACCCGGATCTTGTTTCTAGGTCATGAGATTTCCGCGGAGGGATTGAAGCCCGATGACCCAAGGTGGCCAGCATTCGTGATTGGCCGCGTCCTCAGTCTGTGACTGAGATGAGGTCCTTAGGGATGACTGGCTACTACCGCAATTTTGTGAAGAACTATAGCATAGTGGCCACCCCTTTGACGGACCTAACCCGCCTTGACACCCAATGGGAGTGGATGGATAGGTGTGAGGCTGCTTTTAGACATCTGAAGCATGCCCTCACTCACCACGAGGGCTTGAAGTTGCCCGATCCTGACAAGCTTTTCGTTGTGACCACGGATGCCAGTCAATATGGCATTGGTGCCGTACTTGCGCAACAGGGGGGGGGAAAGTTAAGGCCGGTAGAGTACATGCCCAAAAAGATGCCCTCTAAGAAATTGGCCAAGTCCACCTATGAGAAGGAACTCTACGCGATATTTAAAGCATTGACTCACTGGAGGCATTACCTCCTTGGTCGCTTCTTCTACGTCAGGACTGATCATCAAACCCTGAGGTGGATGAAGACTCAACCGGTACTCTCCAATGCTCTGAAGCGATGGATTGAAGTCATAGAGCAATATGACTTTGAGCCCTAGTACATCAAGGGAGAGTAGAACAAGGTTGTTGATGCACTGTTGTGTAGGCCAGACTTCCTGGGTGCGCTGATCACTAAGTTTGGGCTTGCGGACGGTGTTACTCAAACCTTGGTGGAAGCCTATCGCGAGTATCCGTTCATGTCAGAGATTGTACGCAGACTCGAGGTGAAGGATAAAGTGACTTCTAACGAGTTTGAGTTGGTCAATGGCCTGCTGTTCCTTGAGAAGGCCGGGAATAAACGTCTGTGTGTACCCAATAGAGAGTCTTTGCGTAGTTTCTTTCTAGGCGAATGTCACGACGCCACCAGACATTTTGGGTATAAGAAAACTGCAGCTAATCTGCTGCAGCGATTCTGGTGGTCCACAATGATGAGAGACGCCAAGCTATATGTGGAGACTTGTCAGGTATGTCAGAGAGACAAGCCACGTACACAGGCCCCTCTTGGGCTTCTCAAGCTCCTTCGATACCGAAAAGGACCGGTGAGAGCCTGTCCATGGACTTCATGGACACGCTGGTCACCAACCAGAGTGGAATGTGATATGTCTATGTCATTGTGGATAGGTTTAGCAAGTATGCTAGGTTAGTCGCAATGCCCGCAACAGCCAAGACCGAGTACGTGATTGAGTTGTTCAAAGAAAATTGGGTCAGAGACTTCGGTTTGCCAAAGTCTATAATTAGTGACCGGGATGTGCGATTTACCAGTGAACTGTGGAAGGCTGCAGCTGTAGAACAGGGGACACAACTGCAGATGACCTCCAGCAACCACCCAGAGGCAAATGGGCAAGCAGAGCAGCTGAACCGCGCTGTTCAACACCTGCTGAGGCATTACATCAAGCCCAACTAGGTGGACTGGGATGAGAAATTCGCTCTCATCACCAGTCTGTATAACAACGCCGTGCACAGCGCAACAAGGGTTAGCCACAACAGTCTGCTACTGACTTTCAAACCTAGACTGCCCTTAGATTTTCTACTACCTGAGAATCAGCCTTCCGCTGCACCAGGCACCTTAGAATTCGCGTATCGATATGAGCGCCTGATGCAGCAAGCTCTATAATAGATGCACAAGGCACAGGCGGCGATGATAGAGTATGAGAACAAGCACTGCCACCCATCTACATTTCAGGTAGGGGACAGAGTCTGGGTCAAGTCCTCAGAACTGGGACACGAGCACGGGATATCCCGCAAGCTCATGCCACAGTACTTTTGCCTCTGGGAGGTTCTCGATATTGTCGGGTATGATCCGGATGGGCCGCCATATGTAATTCGGATCCCTGACCACCTTCGCACTTACCCTGTCTTTCACGCTTCTAAGCTCGCACCTTTCAAGGAAACAGATCAGTTTCCTTCGCGCCGCTCAATGCTGCCCCCAACCATGGATGGAGAGGTCGACATCGTGGACCACAGAGAAATGTCAGTTCCAAGACCGACAGGCAGGGGACGTCCTCCTAAACCGAAGCTGCAATATCGCGTTCAGTTCAGACATCATACTGATCCTAAGGAGGACAGATGGTTTACCCGGGAGGAACTGATGCAGACCGCTCCACAGGCTGTCGCTCACTACGAGAAGTCATTGCAGAAAGGAAAGCGCCAGATTGAGTAATTGAACTTCTCAGAGGACTGTCGAAATATGGAGGAGGGAATGCGAGGCTCAAAGCCTCGACAAGCCCTTACGGGCCCTGTTTTCAGCAAGGTCGGCCACCCTAAGTGAAGGCAGGCCCGACCAAGGACGAGAGGCCTATTTTGGACTACCACACAACTGGGGAAATTCAGGAAGTTAAGCAGCGCCAGTTGGTTGAGAGCGCCCAGGCCCTAGCTGCCTTTATCAAATGTATCTGAGGCAGGCCCTGGGCGAGATACGCAACATGGACCCAACACAGGCTGCGGGCAGTAGGACACGGGTAACCGCCATAGGCCCTGGTCCTGATTCGTTTGAACTGGGGCTCAGCCTCTCGGGGCCTACCGGAAGCTTCTGGGCCGGGGCCCAGTGCAGTCAGGCCGCACGCAGCAGGCAAGCCACTTCCATTTAGGAAAGTGCCTGCCCTCGCATTCGGCATTCGGGCACTGGCTGCATGCTGCGCTAATCGCTGACCAGCGCCCACGCACTCACGGGCAAGCAGGAAGAGCAGGCTGCCATAGCCGAGCTGCCCTGCGCTAAGCTGGATGGGGCGCATGGTGGTCCTTGGGTGCATGTGGCATCTGTGAGTGGGGGATCGAGGTTGTGAGTGATGCGAGAGACAAACCTGGTGCTTGAGGTGAACGGCATTGGCCTAGATCTGCTCGTACTTCGGGGAGCTGTTGACGTCACCAGCGGCATTGTAGATAGGCTAGATTGGATCTGCCATTTGTAGTCTGGGCGCAGAGCGCCAGATAGGATGTCGAAATTGGTTCTTTGTTGATGATGATGAGACTATTCCAACATTGTCACATGTGAGGTTTTGCTGTGCTCTTATTTGGTGGAACTCGAGTTGCAATTCTGCTTTTGGTTCGAGGTGACGACTATCTGGTTTCATGTGTATAATGCTCCTCGGTTTTATGGAATTCACAATCGCTCTTTTTTTTTCTTTTTTTTTTTTAACAGAACCTCTCGATTCTGGCTCCTGCCATTCTGGGGAGCAACACAATTGCTCATTTTCTTTGCATTACGGTTTGATTCCGTTTTTGTTTTTAAAGTCTGTCTGAGTTTATGTGAGTGGTCTGTGTGAGGTTACCTACAACATTTGTTATTTCTGCAGGCAGAGTCTTTATCCATCAGTCGAATGCATCCTGGGCAGACTGCCTGTCCCGGTTCAGAAGTCCGACGAAACAAACTGTGTGGTACAGTCATTCTGTTGTTTGTGGAGTTTGCACAGCGAGCCTTATACGTGCGAGCACACACACACACACACACACACACACACACACACACACACACACACACACACACACACACACACACACA